TTTTTTTTTTTTTTTTTTTTTTTTTTTTTTGTAATTTGCAAGCTTTAGGTGTTGTTTGGTTTGTGCCTGGCTTAGGCTTTGCTTCTGCTACTCGAGTTCACTTGCTTTGGTCTTTCTCCATACTCTATAAGAAAGGACGCTAGGACATTTATGGGGCTTCAGCATGGCGAAATTGTAAAAAGATACCTGGAATATAGGGATGGGATGATGATTAAGGTGGGGATTTGAACCTAAATTCCAATGCGCTTTCTGTAGAAGGTAGCTGGGATGGGGGAAAGGTGTCTCTTTCAGATTCAGTAATTCACTATACCCCCTCAGAGGCAGAACATACTTAAGAACTACTATTATATGCATGTTTTGACCTAAGTCCTAGTAAGCTTTAGCTATTCAGTTGGAATTTTATTTTCTGTTTTTTTCCAATGGTTGTTTCCTGCATCAGATGAATTGCTAATGAGCTCAGAACCTGAAATGGCTACCCATTCATTTTGTTGTTTTCTGGACTCCCTAAGGGCAGAGGTTTTTGAAGCTCACTCATGCTGGACACACCTACTAAGTTAAATACTTAATAATTTACCACTGGGTCCATGGAACTAGGTTCTCAAACCAAGTGAAAAAATGCATTGATTCTTGGAAATTAAAGCAGGTTGTACAAATCTGTTGAGGTCTTGTATGGAGCTGTGTGAATATAAAAGCAAAGGCAGGCTTGGGTTTTGAGAATATATTTGTGCTTGTCTTGTATGTATATCGAGGGACATAGATGAGAAAACAGCCACAACAAAACTCAGAGCTTTTAGGTTTTTCCACCAGTTTGCAAAATTTCTGAAGAATTGCTGTTGTGTTAAGGTTCTATTAATGACGGTGACTTGTATAGAATCAGAACCGGCCCTTTTGTTTTCCTTTTTCATTAAAGAAATTTCCTTTGGACCCTGGGCATGTGGACCTTTCCAATTTGCACCACACACGTAGTAAACACAACTGTCTTCCAATCAAAAGTGTTCTTCCTGTACTCAAGGGTGGAGTTTGCAAGCAGCCGGCCTGTGATTGGGCAGATTTTCATTCAGTTATGTTTAAGATGTTTTCAGGCATGCTTGGTTTTGAGTAATGCATAGCAGGGCGCCCCCTGTTAAGGATGAGTAATTGAGGGTTGGATGAATGAGTTTCTGAAGTGACTGAAAACACACTGTTCTCAATTTTAGGCTACATTAGTATCCTCTTTCTAAATAGTTTTTGATCCAGAAATCCTAAAAGATATAGTACTGATCCATTTAATGAAAACTTTTTTGGAAAACAATACCAAAGCTATGTGCTACCTTAAGATGAGTTGCGAAAAAAGGAAAGACAAGATCCTATTGATTGGTAGTTTTGTTGATAAAGGTCTGATAGGTGGGCATCTTCACCAGCAAAGCTATGTTCTAACAAGTAACTACTGAGATTTGTAGCCAAAGTAGGAAAACGGCTTTTTTTCTCTCTCTCTCATGGAATAGTAGCTTTATTTGTGTTTCAAAATAGGCCTTTTATGTTAATAAAAAAAAAAATCCTGTTGCAAATTAGTTTGATGGATTTTTATGCATTTATCTTTTGCTCTTCTTTCCTAACCTCTTTGTGTTCCTAAATCATTATTGGTCCATGTAAGTTATAGAGAACATGGGACCACATTGGTACAATAGTTAAAACAGACAGACAAAACAAACAAACAAACAAAACCATGGATTTTTCTTTTTGTTGGTACAAAAGCAAAACTTGGAATTTACAAAATGTCATACAAAGGTATACATAGGAAAAGCTACTAGTCTTCATCCTCCACCAGCTCCTGCTTACCAAAGAGGAAGTTATCTTTGCTTATCTTTCTTAATACTAGTACAAAAAAATACGAAAACATTCATCCATATACAAAGAGTTGCTTTTTTTAAGCAAATCATATCATACTGCACAATATCTGCAGCCTGCTTTTTTTTCATTTAGCAGTATACCATGGACATCAATACATGTAGATCTTACTCATCATTTTTGATAACTACCTTATATTCCATAGAGTGGATGTACCATAATTTATTCAATCATTTCTCCTTTTGATGGACATTCAGGTAATTTAAAGGTTTTTTTGGCACTTATAAAGACTGCTGCCACTAATACTCATATGCTGTATCTATACTTGTATCTTCATGCAATCCAGGTTTTATTTCTGTAGTTTAGGCATCCAGGAGTGGGATTGTTACAGTAAGGATATATACATTTTTTTATTAGGTGATATCAGATTATTTTTCTAGTAAGATTATAGTATTTTATACTCCCACCAACAGTGCATGTAGTGCTTGTTTCCTTTCACCCTTGCAATCACTGGTGTCTTCTGTCTTTTTCGTTTTTGTCAATCTGATGGGTGAAAAAATATTATCTAGCATTTTCATGACTGTCAGTCTTTTTCTATGTGTATTGGCCTTGTGCATTTCTTTTATTAGTTATTTATGCATATCTTTTGTTCATTTGAAAATCACTCTGGGACCAGCCCAGTGGCGCACTGGAGAGTGCACCACTTCGGAGCGCGGTGGCGTTCCCGCTGAGGGTTCGGATCCCATGTGGAGACCAGTTCCCGCTCACTAGCTGAGCGTGGTGCGGGCACAACACCGAGGGTTGCGATCCCGTTGCCGGTCCCCGGTACAGGCGCGACACCGTGGGTTGCGATCCCGTTACCGGTCAGTAAAAAAGACAAAAAAAGAAAAAAAAAAAGAAAGAAAATCACTCTGTCCA